CAGCAGAGGAATTTGTACCTGGTCGGAAACGTGGAGCGTTTCCTACCTGACGGCTAGAACGAGATTGTAGGATCGCTTTGCGAGTCTTACATTCCCAAAAATTGGATTTGTGGTTTTCACCACAATTTGAACATTTAAATTTCTTAGGATCTTCCTTCACAGGACAGTCGTCCTTTGCGTGAGAGGAATCACCACAATTCATGCATTTAGCTGGCATGTAGCAATTTTTAGTTCCGTGACCCCATCCCTGGCACTTACGGCACTGGGTGAGGTTTTGGAAATTTCCTCTAGTCTTCCTGAAGTGTTCCCACTTCACTCGGACATGGAGCATAAGGCTAGCTTTTTCTAAGGCCTTAAGGTTGTTTAGTTCACTAGACTTGAAGTGAACTAAATAAAAATCATTAGAAATCCCGTTGCGCGAATCGCCAGGACGGGATTTCATTTTCATTTTGATTACTTGGAGTGGCACAACTCCAAGTAATTTTGCCAGTTCATCTTTGATCTGATCCAGGGATTCACCACTGGGCAGTCCTTTCATGACAACCTTGAACACACGTTCAGTTTTGGTGTCGTAAGTAAAAAATTTGTGCTTCTTCTCAGTAAGATACTTGAGAAGACATTTAAATCCGTCCAAGGTTTCAGCCAATACACGGCATTCACCCCGACGTCCAATTTGTAGTGAAAACTTAACTTTCACGAAATTCAAAAGTTCCATGCGAAGAGCATGGAAATCGGTAGTGGTTATCACAATACGGGGGAATCTTTTCCTTCTTGGCATTAAGCCGGGAAAGTTTACTAGAATTTTTCTTGGATGATGGATCATTCTCATCATCCGTGAGCAAATCAAATTGATTACTCAAATTAATTTCTTCAGAAGGGGGGTCAAGAGTTTGCCCCTTTCTTTTGCGTTTAGGCGCCATGGCGGCAGTAATTTTTTTATCCAAATCGACTTCCAAGCAGATTACTATAAGAATCTGAAGGATCGAAGAGGAATTTTCCAAATCGATATCCAAGAAGGATTACCTCGGGTAGGGTCCAAACAAGGATCGAAGAGGAATAAGAGTTGAACAAGGTAGAATTTTTTTTTTTTTTTTTTACAGGTTGAGCACTGAAAAGTGCTGTTTAAATTTGTTGTAGCTTTAGGTAGTAGTAACACTTCCTTCAGCAAAAAGCAAATAGATCCGCACGGCAAGAGAGCACGATGCGGACTGAAAAACGTTATTACTTCTCAGCTGCGTACCAGGTATGAACGAAGCGTGGCTTTTTTCCATCGCACTTTTCACGTAGCACTCACGTGGATCATATGTAGCACAGAATGAACTAATGAACTCTCATCCCACTGGAATTTCTCGTAATAGCTACGTGACTTCTCCCGTATCTTTTACGGAGTGTTTAAGTAGAACCTAGATGATAATCCAGTAAATTCTATCAAAAAATTCTGTAGAAAGCACGTTGTTTTGCGTTTATTTTTACCTTTTTTTTTATAGGGTTAAATACCCCATTTCCGGCCTATTAAGCACAACCCGAACTTAGTCTTTTTTAATCTAGCGCAGTTTAGCACCAAACGGAATGTTATTGTTACTGATGGCTTCCAAATTTATTTACCTTTCCGTACGTACCAAAAGATTTGATAAAGAGAAACCAATCGTTGAGATATTGTCAAAAGTCTAACACTGCTTCTTGACGCCAAACTCGGCCTACGGATTCTAAACTCGGCCTAACGCATTGAAACGCCTTTGAAACGCAATTCCGGAGTGATTTGAGATTTGGGCGTAATTACATTTGTAAACAAACACGTCAATCGCCGATTTATCGCGAATAAAACTTCAATCTCGAAAACCAATAACACAATCAGATAAAGGATTGATTGGTCTGTCATTTGGTATAGTTTGTTTACAAGATAGAGATTTTATTCGTGAGAATTCGGTGATTGACGTGTTTGTTTACAAAAGCAATTACGCCCAAATCTCAAATCACTCCGGAATTGAATTCACTTCGGCCTATCGGATGAATATAAAAATTGATTCGGTCGGAGCGCTTCTTTTGTTTTTGAGAATAATGGGTGCAAATCTTCATATCACGCGTTCTCATTGACTTCGTTCGGTAGCTTATTAACTAAAGTATCTATCAAACGCATAATTGACTTGTTTACTCTGAAATCATGGATTTCATGGTTTTCTGCTCGATAGGCCCAAAATGGGCGATTAGGCCGAAGTAGTTCTCTACCCTAATCTGATTGATTCACAGTCAATCAAACACAACAAGAAACGGTTTTGTGCTCGGGTTGTTAACGAGAGAGGGGGTGGACGAGGAGAATCGGTCGAGGTTGCATGGGACCTGGTGCAGTGTTCAGCTTGATATGTATAGTCTCGGATGATTTCATTTAGGAATGTGGGTAAGCGAAAGAAAACCGTAAACTAATGCAAGGCGAGAGAGCACGGAGAACAAATTCGTTAAGTTAAGATAACAAACCTAATAGTTAATTTCACATGGAAAAAGATTGTTGTTTCAAAGAAACCTATAGTTATTCCAACATTAATTTGACCGTCAACTCAATCATATCTACCTAATAGATTCAACTGTCCACCTTATACTCAATTCAACTATAACTTTGATCAATTATAACAACCGTCAAATGTAATTTATTTACATAATTTGGTTTCAAGTGATCATCACAAATCCACATATCTTTAACTTGTGATGCATAAAGCAGGCGATAAGATAGCTGGCTCTCACGCAGATGAACACGGTTCAAACCTAACTTGAATGTTCTTGTTCACTTTTTAATGATTTTGCAGTTGTGTTTTTGAGATCGATAAAGAAGTAAAACAAACTTCATAAATATGTCGATAATGAAGAGCAGTTCGTCTAATAAACATTGTAAAATTTTGTTTTTCTAACAACAGTTTTCTTGAATCAACTAAAGCATAGTTGTATTTTGAATTTTGACGTATGTTCATCTACTGAAAAATACAGTTGAACCAACTATGGAATATAGTTGTTGCTCTCTATATATAGTCAAATCAACTATAGTTTCGAGTTATCTCTAAAACAATTGAACAATATAGTTATTTTGACCGGAAAAATAATTGCGTCTGCTATAATTTGTTCTCCGTGATATTAACTCAGAATTATCTCACGACGCTTCTTTGGTGTACATATGAACTACCTGTATTAGATATATCTTGATATATTTCTGAAATAATCTGGAAGGCATTGATTACTTGAACAACTTTCCCGAAGACAGCAACCTCCAAGAAGGTAATGATCACGAGATATAGTCCCAGAAGGAAAATTACATTCACACTAGAGCTACGTTGTGATAAAATTCTGAACTAATTTACCTACCATTTGGCAGAAGCCTCATTAAGTCCCTTGAACGACTTTCCCAAAGACAGCAACTTCCTAACCTGTATACAGGTATACCTCGGTATAACGTAACTGTCACTTTTGAATTCCATCGTCGATATCTCACAAATAACAATTCAATCATTCAAATTGGCATGACCAAGTGACAGTTACGTTATATCGAGGTATACCTTTTTTTTTCCTTTGGTTTGTTTTTTCCGTCGATCTTGTTTTCCGTGCTGAGCACCAATGCTACCGGCGTGCCAGGAAGGCAGCTCCCACACCTGGACCCTACATATCGACCCATCAATTCATAAACCGGGGACCAACGGCTTTACTTCCCATCCGAAGGAAGGCGTGATCAGAGATGTTATGCCTCAGAACATCCCGGCGGCGCCGACTGGGATTGAACCCAGGCCTGCTGGGGTGAGAGGTAATCACGCTTACCGCTACACCACCGGCGCCGTTTGAGGTATACCTGTACTGTGTTACCTGACTTATAACGAATATACGTTGTATCCGTGGGATTGTACCTGTTCCAATGTAACATAGCATAACGAACGTAAAATTAGACAGCGTATATGAACCCGTGGTTACAACGTATATTCGTTATGAGTCATGTACAACATGACACCGATTCAACGGATTCAACGTAGTCTGCTGGATAGGTGACACATGCAACTGCTTTCAATCAGCAAATTGTTGCAAGACGGTGAGTAGCTGTCCATTCATGTATTGTCGTTCAAGTTGGACTCCGGAAAACCCACACGCGACATTCGATTTTACCCTCGTTCTGTACGTTAAACATAACGTCGGACATAGTGCGCTGAATAGCGCATCATTGTGCGAATTCAGCGCACTATGTCCGACGTTATGTTTAACATACAGAACGAGAGTAAATTCAATTGGCGCGTGTGGGATTTTCCGGTTTTCAACTGAAACGATAATACATCTGATGAATTTTGCTACCTGTTTCCTTTTTTGTTCTTGATCAACTCTGCGATGACGGCCTCGATTGATCCAAGGACAACTCCATGCCATAGGACGAGGTTATTTTTTTTTATGATGAAGACCATAGTATTATTATTATTATCTATTGTTCCTTGTATTTTGAAAAGGTATGGGGTTTTTACGCCTATTTGCGCAAATATTTGCTAAATAGGCTTTTCCCCATCAATCTTCATTTAGACAACAAAAGTCCGATGAAGAGAATAATAAATAAATAAATAAATAAACAGTAGATGATCAGGATCTCGAGATTCAGCATATTCCGAAAGTTCACAAGCACACTAGCGCACCAACCAAAATGTCTTGACCCGCTGAACAACAGTAAACTTCTATATGGCCAGGAACACGAACATGTTTCAGCGATAGATTTCATTCTCAAGTCAGAGGCTTGTTCTGATGTTGGGCGTACCATCAGGGTTCAGGTATAGGGACGAATTTCCAGCGGGTTCAAACGTACCATTTGGTTTTCTATTGCGATTGTATCGCTTTTTTCAAATTTAACTTGCAATGCTACATGATAAATCCAATAATTGATTTAAAAATGCCAAGAACAATTCAAAGTAATTTCCCCTAATTATTAATTGCTGCCACAAGATTAAAAAGAACACAATTTAATTATCCTTCATATGTTTATTTACAAAAAATCTTCCTACACAGCACTTGCATGTGCATACGGCCGTTTATTTTTCATGGAAAGATATCCTCACTCTCCCGCGGTTTACATTTACAGCGTGCCAACAGGTACAGGAAAATGTTTCCCTTTTCATAACGTCCGTGTAAATAATACCATTCAGATGATCCATTTCGTGCTGAGCAATTCGCGCATTCCATCCTTTCAACGTTAATTCCCTATTCCGTCCTTTCTCATCGAATCCACTCAGTAGGATCTCAGCAAACCGTGGCACTTCCCCACTGTATCCTTTCACACTAGCGCACGATTCCGGAAAACTCCTTTTCTCGTAGTTTGTAACTTTCAGTTCCGGATTGATGAAAACCTATAATTCCGTACATATTAGTCATTAAAAAAAATTAAAGCGAATTCTAAACTTACCGTCAGTGGTAGAGTTTCCATCTCCTTGATCTTGTATTCAGCGTTGGTGTAGTACTCTTTCAACCTCTCCTCGAACTCCATGACCAAAACTCTCAGTGATATTCCAATTTGAGGTGCAGCCAATCCCACGCAGTCAAACTTTCGCAGAACAGTCGTCATATTCTTGACGAGAAATTGAACTTCCGGCGAATGAATGGCTTCGACTGGAACGAGTTCCGCCTTCTGTCGGAGTACCGGGTCACCGATTTGCGTAACATGATCAAAGGGAGGTTCATTGTCCGACTTGCGCTGCCACAGTCCACGGTACCATCTGCCGAATGAGGCCAGTTGAGATGATGTCGATATGCTTCGTCGTTGGAGGTGTATGAGGAGCATTTTGATGATTTTTCTTTTAAATTTTCAATACCTACAATAAAAATAAATTGAAACTTTTATGCTTACGACGAAGGTTTGTTTACCTCTACGAAGGAATGAAAACAGCTGATTGATTATGGCTAAGCATTATTCTAGCATTGGCGCGTGATTGGCGGAACTCACTTCACTCATCGCTTGTACCATAAATTTGCACGTGGTCCGTATATAGAGTTAATTCTGCGCTAATGTGAGGGAACTTTTAAAATATACTTTAAATTGAAAAACACTAAACGTTCGCTAGGTGAAAGACCATTAACTGAAGTGTCTGTTAAATGAAAGTCCGCTGACTGAAACAAGTTTAAGATACGTGATATGCGGTCGGAGCCGGTTAAAAGGGTTAAAAGTCTTTCAGTTAGCGAACGTCTAAGGTATAGTGTATAATTACAGAAAGTACCGGTGAATTAATGTTTTAGACCCATCCCTCATCGTGCTTCTTACGCTTTTGGCTACTGTGTTACCTGACTTATAACGAATATACGCTGTATACGAATACCCCGAATACAACGTATAGTTCGTCTAATTTTACATTCCAAATGCTATGCAAAATTAGACGAATCATACGTTGTATTCGGATACTCGTTCGTATACAACGTATATTCGTATATGGTCAGGTCACAGGTCTACACGCTATTACAAAACTTCCCAAATTTGGGTAGCATCTACCCAGATCGGTCAAAACTGAACCTACCCAAAAATGGGTAAACAATGTTGGGAGTGACAGGATGGCAAATGGACAACATCGACATGAATCCGGTCGACGTTGCTCATTTGTCAACTTGTCATTCCCAACATAGTTTACCTATTTTTGAGTACGTTTAGTTTTGACCGATCTGGTTGAATGCACCCTAATTTGGGTAGTTTTGAAATAGCGTGTATGCACTCATTTCCATTCATTTTCATCCAGCGTTCATGTGGCGTCGGCTGCCCAGCCGCAAAGTGAGCATGCCGGTCGTCAAGCTGTCACTTTCAGCATAAACATACAGAAATCCCCCGAATAGCGCGGTGGGTGGTGTAGTTCATCTACCGCAATTTATCAGTAGTCTTCCCTCGAATTGAGCTGATTTTTTGTATGATTCAACAATAAACTTCTCACATACAGAAAATCAGCTCATGTGGTTGGTCGACTGCCGAGAAATTGCGGTGGGTGGATTGCACCACCCACCGCGCTATTCGGGGGATTCCAGTAGTAAACATATGCACGAGGCGCAGTATCAGTGCGACAGACAGCAGCATATCACTGTAGTTTGGCGGTCGGTCGTGCAAGTCGAATTATTCGTTCATCAAACGTGATAAAAATGAGTGCATCTCGATTTTTCCACCTCCAAAAGCTTGCGAAATCGGCTTTGTCCAATCGGAGAGCAATTTCCGCAGGATTGAACCTAACAAATCGTGCATTACGAGTGGAAAATGGACTCCTAGGTAAGTCATCCCGACGAGGTTTGAAATTCTTACGCAATCCATTCATTTCCTATACACGAAATACATTTCCAGCTCCAGTGTCCCGATCGATTCGATGCTTTTCCACAGAAGCGGCCCAGGAAAAGACTGGATACCATTCGATAATTCGTGACTCGGAGAAAGCCGTTGGGGACAGTGACAAACATGAGTTCCAGGCGGAGACACGCATGTTGTTGGATATTGTTGCTAGGTCTTTGTATTCCGATAAGGAGGTTTTCGTTCGAGAGTTAATCTCCAACGCTAGTGACGCTCTGGAAAAGTTCCGATACACGATCCATACGGCGGGCGAGGGAGAGAAGAACTTCGCCGATGCCGATCGGTCATTGGAGATCCACATCGGAACAAACAAACAGGACCGAGTTCTCTCCATTCAGGACACGGGCATCGGTATGACTAAGGAAGAACTGATCGCGAATTTGGGTACGATTGCTAGGTCAGGATCGAAGCACTTCATGGAGCAGATTAAGGAGAAGGGAGCCAGTGCGGATAATGCGCAGAACATTATCGGCCAGTTTGGAGTTGGTTTCTATTCGGCATTTATGGTGGCCGATCGAGTGGATGTCTATACTAGGTCGTCGAAGGTAGGATCTCCTGGATACAAATGGAGCTCCGATGGTTCGGGTAATTTCGAAATTCAGGAAGCCGAGAATGTTCAAATTGGGTCGAAAATTACCATCCACCTTAAGGCGGATTGTCGTGAATTTGCCGATGAAGATCGAATCCGGGAGGTTATACGCAAATACAGTAACTTTGTAGGAAGCCCGATCTTTTTGAATGGCAAGCAAGCGAATCAGATTCAACCGATTTGGCTAATGGAGCCAAAGGATGTCAGCCAGGATCAGCACAACGAGTTCTATCGTTTCGTTGGAAATACGTTTGATACTCCACGATACACACTTCACTACAAAACAGACGTTCCATTGAGCATTCGTGCTTTGCTTTATTTCCCTGAGGGAAAACCGGGCCTTTTCGAGATGTCCCGTGATGCTGACGTTGGTGTCGCCCTGTACACTCGTAAAGTACTGATCCAATCGAAAACTGAAAACCTTCTCCCGAAGTGGCTCAGATTCGTTAAGGGTGTCGTCGATTCTGAAGACATCCCTCTGAATCTCAGTCGTGAGCTGTTGCAAAATAGCGCCCTCATTCGGAAACTTCGCACCGTTCTGACCAACCGCGTGCTGCGATTCCTCCACGATCGTGCTGTAAAGGATCCGGAAAATTACGACAAGTTCTACAAAGACTACGGTCTATTTCTGAAGGAAGGAATTGTAACCAGCCAGGAGACCCAGGAAAAGGAAGAAATTTCTAAACTTCTACGATTCGAAACCAGCAAGGAAGATGGAAAAAAGGTTAGTCTTCCGGAATACTGCAATCGCCAACAGGATGGACAGAAAGACATCTACTACCTGGCCGCCCCGAACAGAACCCTGGCCGAAGCATCTCCCTATTATGAATCCTTGAAGAAGAAAGGATTCGAAGTCTTGTTCTGCTACGAAGCCTACGACGAGTTGGTTCTTATGCAGCTGGGCCAGTTTCTGGGGAAAAACCTCGTGTCCGTAGAGAAGGAAATGCGTCGATCCGACAAATCGGATGATTCGTCCGAACAGCAGATCGAAGGTTCTCTGCTCAAGACACAAATCGACGAACTGGTTCCGTGGATCAAGCAAAAGCTGACCGGAATGGTTACATCGGTGAAGACGACGAACAAACTCGACGCCCATCCTTGCGTTGTGACGGTGGAAGAAATGGCAGCGGCACGGCATTTCATCAAAACCCAAAGTCACAACATGAGCGAAGAACATCGGTACGCCCTGCTGCAGCCTCAGTTGGAGATTAACCCGAAGTAAGTGCCGATTAGGCGATTCAGTATATAGTTAAGCTTTAATGTTTCTTTTCTTTCTTAGACACCCAATCATCACGAAACTCCACAAGCTGACCACATCAGATCCGGAGCTGGCGGAACTGCTAGCCAAACAGTTGTTCTCCAATGCTATGGTCGGAGCGGGTTTGGTGGAAGATCCCCGAATGCTGCTGACCAGTATGAACGATCTACTGGAGAAGGTATTGGATAAGCACTAAAACAAGAAGTTCGATAAGTGATGTTTAGGGTAATTGTGTTAATGTATGTTGCCATTAGATTCGGCTAATTAAAAATTAAAATACCAAACCAAACATGTTTGGGATCGTATTTTAGAGAATAGAGAAATTCCTGGGCATTGTTGGGTTTGGGTTTTTTTTTTACTTTAAATGATGTTTATTTCTTAACTTTGTGTGGTGTCATAGAGATAACTCTAAGACCAGAAGGTCCCGAAGAAACGTGCTCAACTTTTTGGCTCAGCTCTGGTACTCTCTTCGGTCCCAAGCTAATCGATGCACCCCTCGAAACATAGGAAAATCCACGAACCCCTCTTTTTATCTGTCAAACTTCCATAGCAAATCAAAACAAACATAGTGTAGTACTGGAATTTAGACTAGAATGGGGTACGTTAATCGATTTGCTTGGGACCAATAGGCTAGTCAAGTAGTGAGCCAATTTAAAATCGTTAGTTTCCACCGATTGGTTGTGTGGTGTACATGTATGCATTTGTTAAGTGACACAGATGCGTCTTTTCAACTGTAGTTCATTTGAAATTTTTAATTATCATTTAAAGTCCAAGCCTGTTCTAAAGAATGACAAAGTAACACAGTTTACAGAAATTTATAAAACTTTAGAGAAGCTTGGAGATTTCCTGAGAAATTTGTTGAGCTTCAGGGAAGTTCGTAGATCTCCACAGTAGAACCAACAATCAATACGAAACTAACGATTTTAAATTGGCTCACCACTTTAGTAGCCTATTGGTCCCAAGCAAACGATTAACGTACCCTATTCTAGTTGAAATTCTAGTACTACGCAATGTTTGTTTTGATTCGCTATGAAAGTTTGACAGATAAAATGAGGGGTTATTGGTTTTTCCTATGTTTCGAGGGGTGAATCGATTAGCTTGGGACCGAAGAGAGTACCAGAGCTGAGCCAAAAAGTTGAGCACGTTATTTCGGGACCTTCTAGTCTTAGAGTTACCTCTATGGTAGAACTACAGAACTTAAAAAAAACTGTATATAATTTTAAATAAATTTACAAAACTTCTGAAAAATCACAAGAACTTTAGACAAATTTGGAGACCATCAAGAAGGTTTGCAGATTTTCAAATAAATTTTCAGGATCTCAGGGATGTTACTGGATTTTTACAGAAGATTGCAGAACTTTAGAGAAGTTCACCAATTTTTTGAAATATGTAACTTTAGGGAATTTAGAACAGCTTTCAGGGAAATTTTCAGGCCATCAGGAAAGTCTAAGAGCCTACTAAGAATTTTTCAGATCTTCAGAGAGGTAACTCAAGGTAACTCGTAGATCTTGAGAATAGACCTGCGGAACTTCAGACAACTTTACAGAACTTTAAAGATATTTGCACAACTTTAGAAGAGTAGATATTAAGAGAAATCTGCAGATCTGCAGAGACATTCAGAGAATTAGAAAGCTTCACAGCTTCAGAAAAATGTGAGACCTTCAGAAAAGTTCGTAAAATTTCAGAAAAGTACTTCAATTTCAAAAACAAGTCTCAGTAAAGAACGAAAGTCCAAGATTTTGCAGAACTCCATGGAAGCTGAAAATTGATAGATCTGAAGAACTTCAGTGAAGTCCGTAGACCTTAGAGGAAGTATGTAGAACTTCAGGAAGTTCGTACCTTTTTAGACAAAATTGCAAAACTCTCAGACTTCGGTAAAGTTTGCCGATCTTTGGAAGTATTTACAAAACTTCATAGATTTTTTTTAAACTTCAGGGAAGTTCAAATATTTTCAGATAATTTGTAGAGCTTTGGGAAATTTTAAAGAATTTCAGATAAAGCTGCAGGATTTTATGGAAGTTCAAGAATCCACAAAGAAATTCACAGAACTTTAGAGAAATTCGGAGATCTACTGAGAAATTTATTAAACTTCGGGGCAGTTCGTAGATCTTTGGAGCAAAAATACAGAACAATAGAAAACTTTACAAAAATTTAGAAACTTCAAAAAAGTTCAGATGGTAGATGGTAAATCTACTGAAAAATCTGCAGATGTTTAAATAAATTTTCAGAATTTTTTTGAGGTTCTTAGATTTTAAGAAAAATGTACAGGAGTTCAGCAAAGTTCGCTGATCTTTAGAGATATTTGCACAACTTCAGAAAAAATAGTAGATCTTCAGAGAACTTCGTAAAACTTCCGGGAAGCTCAAAAATTTCTAGATTAACTTTTAATACTATAGTGAATTGTGCAGAGATATTTGCAAATATTCATTGAATCATGAAAATCTACAGAGAAAATTACAGAATTACTTCAGGGAAGTTCTAAGATGTTCAGGGAGGTTTTCAGGACTTAAAGGATTTATGTATATCTACTAAGAAATTTTCAAAATTTCGGGGAAATACCCGTAGGTGGATAGCAAACTTGTACTACTTTTCTTGATTAATACCTGGACCAAAATGTTTTCATAGTATCATAAAACCTAATTATTAATGCGTGGTCAGAAACACTCTGACAGGGTTTCAACTAAAATATGCATATAAACGAACATCATAAGGAAGCAGGTCATTTCTCCATCTGAGAAATTGAGGATTGAAACAACTCTTAACGGCGCCGGTGGTGTAGTGGTAAGCGTGATTACCTCTCACCCCAGCAGGCCTGGGTTCAATACCAGTCGGCGCCGCCGGGATGTTCTGAGGCATAACATCTCTGATCACGCCTTCCTTCGGATGGGAAGTAAAGCCGTTGGTCCCCGGTTCATGAGTTGATGGGTCGATAGGTAGGATCCAGGTGTGGGAGCTGCCTTCCTGGCACGTCGGTAGCATTGGTGCTCAGCACGGAAAACAAGATCGACGGAAAAAACAAACCAAAGGGAAAAAAAAACAACTCTTCACGAAACAAGACAAAACTTCCCCAACGTATCCAAACTTTTCTGAATGTAGGCATGAAGTTCTTTTGAAAAATGCAGATCGCTTCCGGATTATACCAAACATTTCTAAAATCGAACAACCGAGTGGAACCACAATTTCCGCAGCGCATATTTACTATTATATTGGACACTTTTTATATGCAATAAAAATACTAACTAAACAAAATTGCGTTTAGATCCTAACTAAGGCATCATGTGTACAGGAAGATTCTTTTCCTGGACGGTAGATTATCTTTTCACGATCAAATTTTCTCTACATTGTTTTATCTTTTGATTGGTACCAAACCCGCAATAATTAACAATTCAGTGTCAACATTTCATTGGGGCAAATCTGCTTTTGTAAATAATGACTTCAATCGTCAATTTCTCGTGACTCAATGCCTACTCCAGTGAGCTACGATGCAAGTTGGTGCAGAAATCATTCCTTTACCTAAAGGGTGTCCCACATCTAACTGCATCACGGAAAAAATGCTGTAGAAAATTGCCTATTGGGTATTTTCTCTTGATGTTAGGTAGAAGGTAGAAGTAGTTTAGAGTGTATTGTTTACACTGTATTTTTATCGCTGCCAGTTTTTCGAAAGTTGGAAAAAATGGCGTCACCCGAAAAGCAACGTCGTGAATTGATTTTGCACAAGCACCTGGACAATCCTCAACTCTCTCATCGGGACATCAGAAAACAACTCGGAATCGTGCAGTCAACGGTGAGTCGTGTGATTAAACGTTACTACGAAACTCTGAGCATCGAACGAAAGGAGAAATGCGGTCAGAATGGATGTTCTATTAGTGATCAGGATCACAGAATACCAATGCTTCGGTCAGGGAAGTGGCCAAAAAGTTGAATCTGGCCAAGTCTTTCGTCTTTAAAGTCAAGGACCGGGATTGACTGCATAGTGCATACGTACAAAGTGCAGAAGGCTCCAAATCGCGACGAAGGGCTAAATCCGGTGGGAAAGTCATGGGCCCGGAAACTGTACACCCAGACGCTGACGAAGCCTCATTGTCAAATCATGGATGATGAGACTTACGTCAAGGCGGACTTCCGGCAGCTTCCGGGGCTACTGTTCTTCACCGCCCAGCACAAGTTTGATGTTCAGGAGGAAGTAAGGAAGCAGAAACTTTTAAAGTTTGCCAAGAAATACATGATTTGGCAAGCGATCTGCTCATGTGGCAAACATAGTGCGCCGTTCGTGACTACCGGGACTGTAAACGGGGAGATCTACCTCAAGGAGTGTCTACAGAAGCGTCTGCTTTCTCTGTTGAAACAACGGGGTCACTTTCGTACCCAAGGACATGAACCCCCCAACGCACCGGAACTACGCCCCATCGAAAAATACTGGCCTATTATGAAGCAGGCACTACGGAAGCATCCCAAGGTGGTAAAATCTGAGGAATACATGAAGAAAAAGTGGGTTTACGTACAGAAGAAGCTGTAGTCAGATGTTGTATAGAACCTAATGAGTGGAGTTAAGCGTAAGGTTCGAGCGTACGGTTATGGTTTTGAAGTTGAATTAAAGAAATATGACAAAAGCTTACTAATGGGTTATTTTTAATTGTCAGATAGTTTGAAAAAGATCGGTCTACTAGGTAATTTTCTACAGCGTTTTTTTCCGTGATGCAATTTGATGGGGGACACCCTTTAATCACAGACAAACAGACATAACTCTCGTAAGTTGTTCATCGAACAATCATTTAACGGACAATTTGAAAGTATCGTAGTTGGTAGTACCGTCTTCTGTGGCACTCATAGTCAATTTCCTTGCGTTTGACGTTTACACACTACCGTCATCTGTTCAGTGTAGTGCCCACCACAGTATACTCAACAGATGGCGGTAATGTTTTAGCAACGATGTTTTACAGTGAGAAATATTTAATGAGTTATGTCTGTTTGTCTGCGCTTTAATCATAGAGGTAACTCCAAGACTAGAAGGTCCCGAAATAACGTGCTCAACTTTTGGGCTCAGCTCTGATACTCTCTTCGGTCCCAAGCTAATCGATTCACCCCTCGAAACATAGGAAAATCCACTAACCCCTCATTTTATCTGTCAAACTTTCATAGCGAATCAAAACAAACAGTGCGTAGTACTAGAATTTCGACTAGAATGGGGTACGTTAATCGTTTGCTTGGGACCAATAGGCTAGTCAAGTAGTGAGCCAATTTAAAATCGTTAGTTTCATATTGAT